TGCCTTCCATGCATGGTCAGTCTTTCATGTACTTTTAAGTTTGTAAAGACCTAATATTAAATACTTGCATAATTTCGAACGTTCATATTTCAGGAAACTATGAGCTAAGACTTACATTTAAGATGTCTAAATCTACGCCATATCCCTTACAAACCTCATAACGATAATTCGCTAAAATACAAATTAGCCTGATATGTCATTAAGCAAACAAACGCTGGAGTTAATATTTGATATGCCGATTTTCGCTAATTTTAGACACATCCCAAAGTATGCTCCCGATTTTGAACATTAGTATCTCCGTGAATTTTTAAGTAAAATACAACTGTAATATATCAAAATCTAAGTTAGTCCTTCCTCTATTTAATGCAAGTTATTTCTCTTTAAAAGCTGTACTTGTTTAGAAGATAACTGATAAAATTGCTCAACGCTGCGAGTCTGGAGCTTTTGGTGAACAACAAGCACAAATTATTCTACCAAAAGCCAAAAGGGTATAGATAAAGTTATTGGCAAATATCGAGATATTGTTGGCATTTCACTCGATTCAATAATTTCCATCTAGAAAATCCTTGAACGTTTCTTACTTTCGCCAATTTAAATTAAAAGTGATTAATAATAGGGACCTATATAGACTATATATAGGAACGTGCGCAAAAATTCATGCATCACGTTTTACAGCGAAAAAACAACAGAAATAGGTTTTATTGTTTTTACGTTTTTGTAAAGACTCGCGTGGCTTCATGCTGTGAGCCGGATCATGTTGGCGAGCAACAACAATGACATGCAATATTATAGAGCCCTGCTGGTGTACAAGGCTCTTCATGCAAATGCACCGCCTTATATCTCGGACCTTCTGACACCTAAGCATATTGGTTGCTACAGCCTGCGCTCGAATGAGCAAAATTTGCTAATAGTTCCTAAGACAATGAGGAAAACGTTTGGCGACAGAGCTTTTGCCAAGGCTGGTGCATTTTTGTGGAATGAACTTCCCGCTGAAATTCGTGAGGCGTCAACAGTGGAAACTTTTAAAAGCAGACTTAAGACCTTTCTTTTTAAAAAGGCATTCTATCTTTAAATATAATAGTAAATTTGAACTTCCCACTGACATTCGTGAGGCGTCAACAGTGGAAACTTTTAAAAACAGACTTAAGACCTTTCTTTTTAAAAAAGGCATTTTATCTTTAAATATAATAGTAAATTTTAAACATGTATATATAGGTATCATCTCATACTTTATAACATTTTATTTGAATTTGTAATGATAGCGCTTTAGAATATTTATAGTATTTAGCGCTTTATAAATTAATAAATTATTATTATTATTTATTATAATCACTCCTCGCCATGAGCTGTGGTTTGAATGAATCAGTACAACGCTTCCTATATCCAACGTTTCACTCATTGTTATTGCTAATTGGCAATTGTGATTATTATTGTTTTTATGGAGTTTATGGCCCCGTTTACACTATGCCGGATTACTTTTCATCCCGGATTAATTTTTACTCCGAAGTAAAAAATCAAGGGTGTTTACCAGGGTGTTTACACTATGCCGCTTCGCTCTGTTGCCAGCTCATGTCTTTCACTGTCGCCATGGAAACAAGTAGCCAATATACCAAAATTTATTAAAAACAAGAAGTAACATCCGTTTTCTTTGTAAAGTATAACTTTGTTTAAAAAGCTTGACCACCAGACGTTGCTTTGTTTCGCTCTAATCCAAAATTTCAGAGTATTTCTTTAAATTTTGCTCTTTCGAAAGCGAAAAGTCAATGTTATTATCGTTTTCTTTACTTGTAGTTGGATTCGGCGGAAATAGTAAATGGTTGTTGCAAGGCGAAACAAACAACAGCTATAAAGTATTGTAAAAGCGAGCAAATAAAGGCGACAATGTTAAAACATACACGCCAAAACCGATTTTGTACCGAAGCGTACCGGATTAGCCTGTTTACACTGCTCCGGCACATACCGGATTACTTTTCATATCACCTCCAAAGCGGAGTGATTTTTGCTCCGCGTCGCGTACCGGATTACTGTGGCGTAGTCATAGATATCTTATATACACTAGGTAGCGCATCTCTTTAAGTAAAATTGAAGCCAAGAATATTCCAGCGGTTGCCCCCATTTGAATAGATGGCGGCCATGTTGGAGTTTCCCACTCGCTAATAAACGCTTAAGAAACAACAATAATTTTCATCATTTGAATAGTTTGAAAATGTATTTGGAATAGGTTTAACTTAACGTTTAAGTTCCCTGTTTAAGAAATAGAAAACATACGAATCTTTTCATTTCATGGGAATATCCCGAATCTGCAATCACGGCTTCAATTTTTGAATTGCAGAATAATCAGATGCACTATCTAGTATATATAAGATATCTATGGGCGTAGTGTAAACAGCAGCCGAATCTGGTATGAAAATCACTACGCTCCGATGCAATCCGGTATAGTGTAAATGGGGCCTTTGTAAAGACTCACGTGGCTTCACGCTGTGAGCCGGATCATGCTAGCGAGCAAAAAAATGACTGACCAACAATGTACCACTTTAGCTACAGTCAGATTTGTTCTTAAAAGACCTTTACTCTCTAGAATGCATGTTCGATGGGCTGGTACTAGACTCGCTACAAGTCTCTCTTTCATTGTCATATAGTATTGATCCACTATAGTGTACATTACATAACGTAGTACGGAGAGGCGGAGCGAGAGAGAGACTTGTCAACTTCAGAAAATCTCGGTTCAAAACTGAACCGAAAATGCAAGACTTGCTTTAATTGTTTTCTGTCAGTGCTTATATGTATTGATCTAGCACAGTGTGAATAACATGAGTTCCATTATAGTAAATAATAAAGAAAGAAATTGAAGGAAACAATTAAAGCAAGTCTTGCATTTTCGGTTCAGTTTTGAACCGACATTTTCCGAAGTTGACAAGTCTCTCTTTCTCGCTCCGCCCCTCTGTACTACGTCATGTAATGTACACTATAGTGGATCGATACTATATGACAATGAAAGAGAGTCTTGGAGCAAGTCTAGGCTGGTACAGGCGTGTTGTCTGTTGAGTTGGGAAATTTATAAGCCAAAGTTATTTATGCGCATCGTTTGCGCATGGGCAGTTCTACAATAGTCATATTTCGCAAGTCAAAAATTTCACAGTTGTAAAAACCCCAGCTATTTTAATGTTAATAAAGCTCTTATCGGGCCGGCGGCTTTGATAAACAACCAAAATAACATTTCAAAGTCGAATTAGCTTAATTTGATTCCAATAACGGTATAAAGTTCATTCAAACGATCTTTTATGGACAGGAAAACATTTTCGTGACACGATTCATCCTCATTGCAACTGCAAAAACATCCTTTTGTTTGGTATATATTTCAGAGGTTTTTAAATAGCAATTATTTGTGTAATATTATCAATAGCTAACTATGTTTAACTATTAGATAATTTTTTTAAAAAAATCAACATGACTGAGTATACTTTTAGTTTTACATCATTCATTAAATTATGCAAATTATAGATGTTCATAAGAAATAAATGTTCAAATTAAATACTCACAATAAAACTATATTTATATATATATTTTCTTGTTTAGTTTTCCTACAACCGACAATGACATCTTCATACTTTATTACTGCATACTTGACTGTTTTTCGAACTTCGTGGCATCCTTGCTTGCATTTAATTCCTTGAACAGCGTTCGGTGGAAAAATATCACTCCTGCGTGAACCGCGGCTTTCAATGCAACTATTTATAGTGCTTCGCTTCATTCTGTGCAAGAAACCAGCGAGATCTTTGCGTTTTGATTTGGGGCTTACCACCATGTTTAGGGTGGCCAGTATCACCAACGCCTACAAAGAGAAAGGAGAGAAAATTTCAAGTAAACAAAGTTATATCATGTCGTTGGAGTTTGTCGGTTAACCGAGTCAAATCCGAGCCCGAGTCAAATATCCGAGTCACTGTTTAGTGGTCTTTGTAGTTCACTGACTTAGCACCCTACTCCTAACCCTTTCTTTATACGTGAACCGGGCGTTTCACTCGGGCTCGGATTTGACTTGGTAAATGGATTTACTCCATGTCGTTGTGCATATAGTTATATAGTTGAAAAATCTCCACAATTTTTGTCTAAGGATAAAGTATTAACACGAAAATTTAGCATGGGCTGCAGTGTTTGTCTTGGTTGCTGGTGCGGATTTTTTAAGAACGTATACAACGAATTGTGATATTTTTATAACCGTCTTTCAATAGACCCATTGCACTGACGTCACAAATCCTTAGGATGTCCTCCAGATGCTCCCTAACAATATCTGTTCGGGTACAACAACCACATTCAGCGCAAAAATTAACCATTTTAATACAAAATTATTATAAAGTATAATTATTATATTTGCTTCGTTTACAAAAAATATATTATGCATAGATTGCTTATTTGTCCAGCCAGATGCATCGTCACCGGCGCTGTGACGTCATGTGCAATGGGTCTCTATAGATTAGAGGACGCTTCTGTTTCATCGCGTTGAGACATTTCTAACCAAGTTTTAAAACATTGTTCAAGTTCAAACCGAGTTAACCTTCATGGTTGTTTCTTCAGCAATATCTTTGAAGTTATTATATTAACTACTACATATACGTTACTGCATGTAGTCTTATAGAAATTATCGAAAGTGTGACACAATCATACACTTAAGGGGCGCGGGCGAATTAAGTCAATATCATACATGCATGGTCTATAATTTCGCGTTAAGTTTTCTTTGCCCGTGAAAGCAAGACAAACATTTATTAATTTCTCATCCAATTTTAATTTAAAATTAACCAAAATTTAATCGTTTTCTCTCCAGTCTACAGCGATTAACCCCCAAAATTTTATATTAATCCATCTTAATATTGATTTTATAAGAATGTTATGCGAGTAAAAACACTGACTTATATGACACTATACTCCTATGATATACATTGTTGGTTTAAACCGGTATATATAGAGATAATAGAGGAATATGTCGATGAAGCAAGAAATTGACCGATTAATAAAAAAACTTAACAGTAATAATTTCATAGCAATAAAATTCTAATAGTACATAGCCTAATCTTTAATTCTTTAAACTGTTAGGAAACCGTTCGATCAAGCATTAAATTGAAATCGACAATAGATACATTGGTATTAAATTTATAAAACAGTAATAAATTAACGATCATATATTAATATAGCTTTAATATAATACTTACATATATCATCAATTGTCGCATGTTGACAGGGACTTTGAATTCCACCATTTTCCTTTTCTCTAGTCTGGCTTTATATAATTTTCAAACTTTCAAATTTGACTTTCAAACTGTAAGCGTTGCTGTTATTCCGACGATATGCGAGGATTTTGCAAGTCTCGACTTATTATATATCCTCAAAGACAAATGAAGTTATTTTTGATTGCATTACTTTAAATTCCCCCGTGGAGCTAGTGCTAAATGTTCTTTGTATTGTATTTCCGCTAGGCGTGACGCGTTTAAATTTAGTTACTGTTCAGTATTGCACAAGATCCTATGACCCGTGCAATGTGTTGTATGTGTCTGATATTAAACTGTAGCAAATTAGTGATGGGCGATACTATCGAAAAAGTATCGAAATCATCTATACTTACAAAAGGATAGATAATTCGATACCACTTGAGCCTGCGATGTTTTTGGTCAGTATTCCTGACCAATCACTTAATGTTTCATGAAGGCAACAGACTGAAGGCCCCTGAAGGCAAAACATGTTGACATGATGCTGTTCTTAAACAAAAACATGTAGCTAATTAGTAATATATTTGAGGAAAACATTGGTGTTTTGATTTAAAATCATAATTGCAAATGTTATGTTCAATTATTTGGCAGCTACTCCAGTTAGAGTATTCTTTGACTTGTTTTAAACATTAATATTCGTGTTTTAAAAGTTATTTTAATAAATGGAAAAAACTGAGTATCGGTATCGATTTTGGTATCGGCATCGACCAAATTCATGGTATCGGACTGGTATCGTATCGAAACCAAAAAAGCTGGTATCGCGCCCATCACTACAGCAAATATAATAGCCTAGAATAGAAACTTTATTTGAATACGGATTTGAATTAGCAACAAATGCTAGTATCAAATATTATCAGATAAGATTGAATTTAAATTCAAATTCTTTGAATCTTCTTTTTTCAAATTGTGGCAATTAAAATTCGCTTCCTACGCCGAAAAAGAGATTTAAGATGTTTAATTCAAATTCCTAAAAATCTTTGTCTATTTATTCTGATGTTGTGCTATGCGTTATGAGCAAAGGGGAAACAACCTCACATGTAAATATAACAGCAATCCACGCAAAAGTTTAAGATAATTTTTGCTAATTTTACAATACTCAATAGGAAGCCTTTCCCTGAATAGTATACCCTACTGGCAGAGGTTTCTAGATTGCCAGCATGGATATTTCCCAATTGGCATTGTTGGCAATTCCCTCTGGGGGTGCTATTCAAAAATTATAAACGTAAACATAGCTATTTGTCATTTTGTCGTAATGCGGGGTAGATTAAAGGCGGACGATAAAAAGCGGACTGCGGACGCCGGAGCATTTTATAACATAATTACTCCCGCAACTAGCCTCACATCTGTAATATGAGTATGTTTTCTCCCGTTCGAATCCCTAGCAATGATTTTTTAATCAGCATTCAATGAATATGTGTGATAGGAGGCTATCTGCCGTCTTTCACGTGAAACTTTTTGAAATATTGTAAAAAAAACGCCTTAATTAGTTTCGGTGCTTCTGTATATAACTGCCCTAACACTGTCATTGAATTAAAATATTGTTAAGCGGGGTTATTACATGCATGATATTCACTTGCTGTCATTTTCATATACTTTAAATTGTGCTGACTTGTTTTTTTATAATAAAAATAATCCCGTTTTACTTACTAAACGGATAACACGTAACCATGTGAGTGCTTACATATAACTATTCCACTATATAAATGTACAACGAAATTATAACCTTTCCTAAGCCCTTCAAATACATATAATAGAATACCCAATATTTACGCTGCCCAACTTACATTGCCCAAGTTGACGACGTTACACATATATACATTTAAAGTCAGTTTTCGAACAGCTTGTTACACTTTTACTGTGTGACATTTACATATATAGTAGATACTAAAATATATCATATTGTCAGGAAAATATCAATAACTCAATATAGTTAAAGAAATGACAAATATATACAATTGTAAATATAAACTTTATAAAAAATTCTCTTAAATCACGATCCATAGCCTATAGCCTATACGCAAGGGTGGGTTGACTACAAAATTTTTGTAGTTCGCTATAACTACAGCTACTTCAAAAATATGTAGTCAGCTACAACTACTGCTACTTTTGAACAAAGGTAGTTCGCTACTGACTACAGCTATACTGCTTAAAAAATGTAGCGAACTATTTCGCTATTTCGCTACGCTATATTTTTTAGTTTTACTGTATTTGGAGCATCTACTAACTCAGGTTGAAATGTAACCTATAACAAATCGACTTACGAGTAGCAACAGTAAACACAAAGCAACATGTTTGTAAGAACTACAGTGTTCAAGAGTGTAAATTGACTATTGAGTATTGATTTTAAGCAAACCGTGTCTCAATATCATGCTATTCTATCAAGTTGCTAACATTTTTAAAAAGTAGCGAATAGCGATTTGCTGTTTGAAAAGTAGTCAACTACTTGGCTACTTTTAGGAAAAATGTAGTTCGCTATAACTACAGCTAATTTATAAAAGTAGTCAAAAACTACTGGCTACTTGAAGATTGTAGTTCGCTACAGTAGCGAACTACAACTACTTCGCTACATACCCACCCTTGCCTATACGCAATACCTATACTACCTATAAAAACATCGTTCAAGAGCCTTGAACGGCAGAAAAATATCGAGCAATGAAAATCTACCCCATCAAATGGTCCCCACAAATACATAATATTTCTAAAATCCATATATAGAATGGTCGTCGGCGACTCGTCGCATGCAAATCGGCCATTTCTTCGGGTGAACCTCTTAGGTTTATAAGTAAAATGGGGATTACTTTCCTTATAAAACAACAAGTCAGCACTATTTAAAGTACGAAATTTCAGCAAGTGAATGTCATTTAATTCTGGCTAGCAGAAGCTCCGGCAAAACTAAGGCACTTGTTTACAATATTTCCAAAAGTTTCCCGAGAAAGACGGCGTATAGCCTATCATACATACTATTGTATGCTGCATGTTTAAAAAATTCCATTGCTGAAAATTCGAACTGGTGAAAACATATTCATTCACAGATCTAAGGCTAGTCACTTCAGTTTAGGGTATTATAATTAGTTGCGGTAGTAATCATGTGTTTATAAAATACTTGCATGGTCTTCCATGCATGGTCCGCTGTTCGTCGTCCGCCGTCCGTCCGCCATTTATCTGCACCCATTTTATGCAAAGAAAAAGGATCGTTTTTTGAATCTCATATCTATTTAATATTTTCTTCATTTTTAAAATTATTTAGACCTTGTGCGCGCATTATCAATCATTTTATTTTACACAATATATACTTCAATTATCACAATATTATATTTGTGATGTTACTCTGAGTGTATATCCACACCGGGCGAGCTTGAAAAATATGCCCGGCCACGGTGGGATTCGAACCTACGACCTTTGGAATACCAGCCCAATGCTCTTCCAACTGAGCTACGCGGTCAGGACGGTTCGAGTGTGTGATATTTCGGAACAGAATCTAGTTCCTTCGATACGTGGCCGGGCATATTTTTCAAGCTCGCCCGGTGTGGATATACACTCAGAGTAACATCACAAATATCATATTCACCTGAGTACACTACACCAACACAGAAAAAAATTCATATTACTAGAATACATTGGTATCGAAGGAACTAGATTCTGTTCCGAAATATCCCTTACTCGAACCGTCTTGACCGCGTAGCTCAGTTGGAAGAGCATTGGGCTAGTATTCCAAAGGTCGTAGGTTCGAATCCCACCGTGGCCGGGCATATTTTCAAGCTCGCCCGGTGTGGATATGCACTCAGAGTAACATGGCAAACATATTATTCACCTGAGTACACAACACCAACACAGAAAAAATTCATATTACTAGAATACATTGGTATCGAAGGAACTAGATTCTGTTCCGAAATATCACTTACCCGAACCGTCCTGACCGCGTAGCTCAGTTGGAAGAGCATTGGGCTAGCATTCCAAAGGTCGTAGGTTCGAATCCCACCGTGGCCGGGCATATTTTTCAAGCTTGTCCGGTGTGGATATGCACTCAGAGTAACATCGCAAACATATTATTCACCTGAGTACACAACACCAACACAGAAAAAAAATATTCATTTTTTCCTAAAAATCAGCCTTTCGCATGCTTAATTAATGCCTTTGCCTAATTTGCATATTGCTGACATATGCAAATTAGGCAAAGGCATAATTAAGCATGCAAAAGGCTGATTAATTTTTAGGAAAAATGTAAGTTTGCGTGAATAGTTAAAGGGTTTAAACTGAAGCAAATTGCCTGAATTTCGTGCAGCAATTAAACACTCAACACATTTTTCACCCATTAACTTTTAAATCTCGTGCGCAATCCATTTTTAGTTTCTTGGAAAAGACACACCCCCTGGTTTACAAAATTTGAGTTCGAGAAATTTTTTCATCATCATTCTACATTATAAGTAGCCAAAGAAGCTATATATATATATATATATCAAAAACTGTGTACTAATGGCTGTTTTGCAAAATTGAGAGCAATTTCAAATCTGTTCAGTTTTTTTTATAACCCCCACCTTGCGGAAATCAATACAAAAATTTAATATAACTGTTACCTGCCATCATATAGGTTGTGGTTGGACAATATGTTTACTTCTTTTGGTGATTTCTTAAACAAGAACTCTTCTATAGCTTTTTGAAGAGGCAAAACGGTCATGAAAAAGCGGAAGACGATATCTGGATTAGGAATGTGGAAAACTTTGTCCAACTTGGTACGGGGGCCCGCCTTTGCAGTAACTGATTTGGCCAGATCCGGTTCCATAATTTCTGATGGTAAACCAGTCATTCTTTCTCTCTGTTCATCTTTCCCAAGGTAAGAGCGAAGTCGAAATTCCGATGCAACAGCTAATACAAAACTCAGATTGCGGGCTTCGTCTTCTCTGATCAGCTGCTTCCCTTGCATTTCTTCAACAACATCCCAAGTGTTCCGTGTATCAAGGTTATAATACAAGGTAAGGCTATTCAAAACCAAACTAGGAAATCTGTAAAGCTCCTTCTTGACATTAAATACTTTTCCCGCTTCGTGCCAGTCTAAATTGATGCTAAAATCTTGAAATGTCTCGTTCAAGCACTCAAAGCCTCTTTTGGAGCCATTAGTCCACATATCTTCACCTGATGGAGCTTGTAACCTTTCTTTAACTTTTACGTTGTACACTTTCACAAGTTCTTCGTCGCCTGTGATGAACATCGAAGTGGCCATTACGTCAGCCAAGTGGTATAGCCCTCCTTAATAGCCACTTGCTCGCTTTGCAGTGCGGCCATTTCTTCTGGTGTTTTAATCAGCTCAAGGGCTTCTTTAGTTTGAGATTTCTTACGACCAAAAGGAGACTTGCTGGCCCACGGCATTGCCCCATCGAAGGAAAATCCTTTCGGGCCATCATCAAAGAACCACATACGTGACGGATCGCCAGAGTAGAAATCATTTAACGATGTGATGCTCATTGACGGTAAGATAGTCTCACCCAAGTTGAGAACCTTCAGATGCAAATAGCGTGTGATGTTGCGGAAATATACCAGGTTGGATTCCGTCTTTGCACCTTCTTCCAGTAGAATAGCAAACTCCAAGTCAGAATAAGGAGTCATTTCGTTTCGAGCCAAAGAGCCAAGTCCAATCACAGCAAATCGACAGGGTGCGTTGCCTAACACTAACGTGCATTCTTCAATCAGCATTCGAATGAAGTTTGTCATGTCTTCGGATATCTTTCGGAAAAGTGTTGATATCAAGTTGGTCCGCCTTTTCTCCAGTGCCACACGTTCTTCTGGGTTTAGTGGCATTAACCCTGGGTCACACTCAAAGTCTACTTGAACAATGACTTCTTTGCAGTCATCACGAATCTTCTCTAATAAAGCTTTGTGTTTCATGTCGTTGTCATAGTTGGGAAGGTCTACTGGTGAGTCCTCTTGGAGAACCGAACTTAAAAAATGTCTCTCTGCTTCTTTAATGCGAGATATTAAGTGCTGTCGAAGCTTGGCTTCAGTACTTGTAAGCCTTGTTAGTGCTGCGTTATATAACGCTGTTGCTTTTGTAAAGTCTTCTCCACATTTACTTCTCTTACCGTATTCCACGTAGATGTTGCCAAGTTCTTCAAAGCATATTCTCACTTCTTCCTTTTTTGCTCCTTGATATACCAGTTTAAGTGCTGTTGAATAATGTAGCTCAGCAGTTGTTAGATCATCTTTGGAAAAAGCGTTGCTTCCTTTGGAGAGGAGCTCGTGGAATGCAGAACTGTTAGATATGCAAATAAATAAATAAACTAATAAATAAATATACAAATAAATGTGCACTATTTATGGTATAGGCCATCCTGTGGCATTGCATATACACAGGCCCCCCAGAGAAATTCGGGTACCCAGGGCAAAATTTTAAATTCGGGGCCCCTACTTTTTCCCCAAAAATGTTGATTAAGGTTTGAAAATTTTTTTCTCATACCATTATTTATATTTCAAAAACTCATTTTTTAATAATTCATGAGGAAAACACACAGAAAAATCATAAGCGTGCATGTCGTATCTTTAATATGTGATAGAGATTTCCTTTGATTTACAGGCTTTAACTTTGATTTTCTCGAATTACACAACGTATTTTTTGAAAATTACCTCGCCAATGAACTTTTTTTCGCCAATTTAAAACATTCGCAGTGCGTGTTTTATCAGACCTAAAGATACTCAGCTTCGCCTCGTATCTTTGTCGGCTAATAAAACACTGCTGCTCGTGTTTTAAATAGTACAAAAAACGTTCCAAATAATTTTTTTTAATGACACCTTTTGTGACGCATATACAACAAAACTTTTAAGTACTATATTTATTTCATGTAATTACCAGGCAAACTGACGTTCTCTGACCAAATAATTTATTAAAATTCGAGCTTACCAGTTTAGAGTGAAAAGTAAAACAGAACATGCAAATATTAAGCTTAAGAACGATTAGTAATTATCACTTATTTACTGAGACCGAGGTCAAGGGGCCACAAAACACACTGCTTTGCCGAGGTCAAAGCATGCAGTGAACATGACGTTTTGTGGACCAGCACGTGATACGGTTTTGACCAATCGGCAAACAGGAAATTTGAGCTTTGACACTTGCTATATAACAATATGATTTATAAAATAGCATTTGTAAATTCTGAACGCTGATTGGCTAAGAGCCGTGTTGATATAACTCAATGTCAACACGGAAACGTCGGAAAATTTCTTTCTTTATGTTTCTTTGAGCTATATTATAAAACAAATATAAAACATTTTTTCCGTATTGATATATAGTTATATCAACACTCGTGGAAATTGGCAAAACTCGAAGTTGTGTGAAAACACTCCGCCCTTCGGGCGTCGTGTTTCCACACAATTTCTCGTTTTCCCAATTTCCACTCGTGTTGATATAACTGTAATTACATATTAGTGCATGCTGTGAATATGTATTGTCGGCGTTTTGTAGATGGAAATTTCGACTGTGAATTTAATATTAGACCTAACAAGGAGCAATTGCGAAAAATGGAACTATAGGCCCTTTGGCAAGAATCGAACATGCGGCCCTCCGATTCCAGTGACGCGCTCTAACCAATTGAGCTATGGAGGCCAGATGTCGAACTCTCACCGCAAGTTCATGTATGTATACACTAATGTATATATATACTAATATGATACAGTATATATACTAATATGATGGCAATGTAAGATGTATGGGTAAATATCAGGATTTGGGGCACTTATACTCGATATAACTAATTGTAAAAGAGCTTTCTACATGTATGTAATTTAATGTATCATATTACAAAGGTGTCAAAGCGTTCTTAGTATTTAATAGGTCAGAGAATGTCTGTTTTTCATTAGCACATTTATATTTTCTGCAATTTCAAGTTAAACATAGTTTTGTTGCAATTGTTTGAACAAAGAGTTTTGAGGTTATGCGAGGTATGAGGTAGTGAAGATGTGGCCAAGATGTTGCCAAGAACCTTGGCTGTTTTTTGTATTTCAATTCTTGTGATTGGTCAGATTGTATAAAGCCAGTCACGTTTACAATCGCAGTATCTGTACCTTGACAACATCTTTGCCACACCTTGGCAACATGCATTGCATGGGTATTAGATTTCGTTTACCTAAGTAACTAAGTTACACAGTACCTATCAACAGTACCTATAAGCTAGATCAGTAATGATTGGGCACAACTTGTTGAACCACTTGTCGCTTTATGGACTTGTTTGTGTATATTATAGGCTGTGGGCCAAAATTATTTCACTTCGTGGCAACCCCTTGGGGAATAGATTTTCTGTGATTCAATGCGTAGTACCATGAATACTCGGTACTGGGTACTAGGTCAAAAACACGTTTTTGACAGCTTATAACTTGAAAACAATTTGAGATATAAAAAAAACTGTTTAAATTCTTATATCCAGTTTTTTGTAAGCTTTCCGATGATGCTAGTAATAAGTAATAGTAATTAGTACTGGACCAGTAATACAATTTAATAGAGGATAATCACTGATCACCCATTTTCTCGGTGTTTGGCAAGTTTTTTGCTTGGGAACTTTTTGTGGTAATTGGGCATCTATGGTACTGTGCATTGAACCACAGAAAATCTATTCCCCAGGTGGTTGCCACGAAATTGCTTTTCCAAGCACTTTTTCGCACAACGGCCCTCAGCCTATTATACAGGGTGTATAAAAAAAACGCAACCTCGGAATTTCCCAAGAAATCTACATTGTTTTGAAGACAAAAGATTTTAGGCGCCTGGGAATTTAAAATAGCACAACTGTCAAAATTACTGCACACGCGAGTGCATAAAGCAAAATTTATGCATTTATTTAATGCACAACAACAGTAATATGATCTATTAGCAATTCGATTTCAATTCCCAGGGGCCTAAAAGATTTTAGGCCCCTGGGAATTGAAATCGAATTGCTAATAGATCATATTACTGTTGTTGTGCATTAAATAAATGCATAAATGCATTAAGAATTGCAAAGTGATTTCTTAGGAAATTCCGAGGTTGCATTTTTTTTTATACACCCTGTATATCAATTCAATTATGGTTGTCTGAATGTCCGACTTGTCAATGCGTTATGTTCTGATATTCTGAGGTTTAATTAATTGCTGATGCATGTCTCAAAAATACAGTTTGAGTTAACTGGGTAAATTAGACCAAGGGGAAATGAAATTTGTTCAAGTTAGCGAGGAGTTTGAGTTAAGCAAACTGTTAGAGTTAACCAGAGTGGCTTGTTTAGCAAACCCATAGATACACCCAGTGGTGTAGTGGAGGGGGGCTCAGGGGGGCTGACCCCCCCTGTTAAAATTTCATGTTGACTTGGGGGGGGCTGAGCCCCCCTATATTTTTGCACTTTGCATAATCTTAACAACGTCAAAAACACACACAAAAATATCAGTAAAGGAGAATTTCTTTAGAATTGCATCTCATTTTCAGTCATTATTTAACACAATAATGATTTTTGTAATCTTTACTTAATCGTTTGTAATTTAATGTAAACGTTTGTAATCTATCCAGGGGCGTAGCAACCACGGGAGCTGCAGCCCCCCCCCCCCCGCCCACTAATAATCATTCTTTTTCAAAATCATGCAGACCTTTATCATTTAACTAATATACCTTTAAAACACTGACAATTGATTAATTTTAAGCGGCTACATTATACATAACAAACTGCAAAGATTGAAGATACAGTATTACCCATACTTTCCTGCAACTTATCCAATATATAGTTAATTAAATACGCCTTCGCCCATTTAGTACTACTAAATTGTAAATTTCGACATACTAAAACGCTGTTTTCTGACCATCAGAATTCGGTCAAATCTTCCCCCAAAGTCCAGGAAATGGCATTTCAGATACTCTAAATTTAAAAATTTC